AAAATGAAATAATATATGTAAACCGTACATGATCTGTATAATTTATAAATGAATTTGACACAAATAAAGTGCTTTTTAACACTAAAATGATGCGTTTGTTTTCCATGTATTACAATACACCCCAAACAGTTAATATGGTGTAATTGCTCATTAACATATCTTCAGTAACTGCATATTTTACAAACCTGTTCAATAGCAAGCCGAATCAAATACACTTTTATGCTGAAAAATGTAAATCTCAGAAAGATAGAAGTGAATTGATAATGGCAACAGGTCTGCAGTTAGTGTAAAAAATATTTAACAATTTTTAATCATTAAAATAAGAAGTTTTTAAACATTAACTTTTTCATCCTAAACCAGTAACATGCTCCCTTCATCCAACTCAACTTCTAATGTAAAAATAGCGTCTAATGCTACTTCTTTGCCTTCAAGTATTTTCGTGTAAACAAGCGTATTTTTTATTTCTTGTACCAAAAATGTTTCTAGCGAGAATCAAGCGACAGAACGAGACAACGCTAAGGAAAAAGACCCCCCCCCCCGATTGATGGGTGCTTACGTCAGAATTGTTAACTCGTTGCGACAATTATTGAAATGGCTCTCGAACGCCTATTGTATCTATACGTGCGATCGTTTAGTGAAGTGCAAAACCAGGCGATGGAACACGCGGGATGTAGAGACGAAGCAATTAACGTAATTGAACTATTTACGTAACGTGGGAGTATGTCACTGCGTGTCAACGCTAGTGTGCACAGTGTATTCATTCACGGCGGCTGTATCACGCAACGTACACTACTCGTAGTTGGTTGACGTTCGTTGGCCGCGACAAAAAGGGGGGTGCCGTGATTTGTTTTTAGCAGCCTTACAATGAATGGCGCGTGCCTGGCTAGAGTAGTAGGTTTGGAATCGTCCAGTTGGTGGAGTTGAAGGTTTTGCACCAGAGTTTCAAACTGGCATTTTGAGATTGACTTCTTGATGTAGTAGACAAATTGTTGAACTAGAACTTGAATTTTTTTTCAAATATTGCGGATCTTGCGCATTTTTTAAATTTATTTTATTATTATTATTTATTATTAATTTTAAAATTTTACTGATCTTTCAACTATTTATAGTTAAAATGATGGGAAGGAATTCTGGAACTGAAGAAAACGTGCGCAGATAATCTTTGCCCCATGCATCACATATAGTTTTTACTGTTTAGTTTTCGACTAAATAAATCAAAATTTAAAAATCTAAATTCATTAGCTTCAATGTAAATGAACATTGCTGGTTAAGGAAAGAATTAATGAATGAAGGGACTAGTGTCACCCATCTTTGTTACAATTTTGTTGGAAAAATTATTGGACGTACGTGAATTCCATATGTGTCACCAGGTCTGTATTTGTAAACTGCTAATTAGAGAAATGCACGTAATTTGAGATTCGTTGTTGCTAATGATTATTAACATAAAATCTAGAGATTCTGGAACTCAAAACGTGCGCAGATCTCCTTAATAGGTCACATACAGTTTTTACTGTTGTTTGAATTAATAAATCGAATAGTGAAAAGGGCGCTGATCAGAGTCCCCGACAGTGGCATCAGCTGACGTCCCGGGCCCCCTAAACCGCGGAGAGAAGGAAGAGAGTTACGCCTCATTAGCAGGAGGCCGCGATATTGAACGGCGCAGGTGCGTCCCAGGAGACCGTGGCGGACACGGACACGGACACGGTGGGGGAGGGTTGGGGCCGTGGGGGAGGGGGGGGCGAGGCTTGCTGCCAGCGCCACCGCAAACCTTACGCAACACGGCTCGGCAAGCCACGCACTACACCGATGCATCAGCCAAATGTTTTCGATGTTCACGAAAACATTGGGGAGTTTGCGCACCCTCGAACGTTAAAGTACTATCGAGACTTTGTGCAAGCAGTTCAAGTTTCGCATCCCTTTGGTGCAGCTGCGCATGCGAAGGAGATAGATTGCGTTGTCAGCTGTGGCGTGCACAAACTCCCTATCGACAACAAAACATTGATGTTTTAATAAGAAGAAACTGATGATTTTTTTTTCATCCTGTTTCCATTTTTATATATAATACTTCATCAAATGAGTTATATTTTATTATTCGGTCACGTACAAGAAACACGTGAATTAATGTTTATTGAATGTAAAGAAAGGAAATTGTTTTGCTATATTTTCATTCATAAATCATCGAAGTATAATTTCCTTGTTCTAATGTGATAAATAACACGTCAGTTTTAGTTTCATGTATATTCTCCCTTGTTTGACTGTCGTTTCTACTCTTAAGTCAATGTATATGTAGCCAAAACTCAAACTACAGTGAACCGATATTACCACGTATAAAATATTTTTTAAAATATCAACAATGGAGAAAGATGGCTAATAGCGAACGATTTCGTAGCGCCAGGGGATCGACAATTGACAGTTGTCAGTGGTTGTTGACTACGAGCAATTCACAAATAAATTAGATATTCAGAATTTGTATTACGAGACTATTCTTGAAAACAACAATGTTTCTGGAGAAATACATCGTTCCGAAGAAAACATCGATGTTAATATCAATAGTATCGAGGTTTTAAAAACATCGATGTTGATATCAATAGTATCACTGTTTCAAAAACATTGATGTTTATTTTGCCATCCGTACCTCCAGTCCGAACCCGTTCGTCACCTAACACATGCACGTGTTCGGCCTTCTAGTCTTTCCTAATCTTGCCACGTACACATCCGTCTTTGTCACCCTGCATGCCCTCAGAGACAATTGACACCCTGCAGCTAGATAGTGTTTAGTGCTGACGCGATGTTTGAGTAATGGCCGCAGGACATGCGGCACGCGATGATTTTTCGTGTTTCGACAGGCGACAATTTATGAAAGGTCTCAATAATTGTCGTAAAAGCACTACTTGCAATGCTTCAAAGCACTTAAAAATTTGTACTTATGAATTCTGAAAGTTGTTAAACATGCTGGTAAAATTTCAAGCCAATCCGAGTATCCAGCACGTTGACTGTTGCGCGTGTGAGAGGTACGTCATTACGCCTTTGGGTCTTCGTTGGTGTAACTGTTAGTATCGGACTGATATACCCACGATTCAGTCTCCAAACATGATCAAAGCCGTGGATTATTAAGGGTGAAAAAGTCCATCTTAGGCCGTCCTTCCTAGGCAATTGTCGCAAACATTACTAAAATTACCATATATATTTCAAGTCAAAGCAGCTCAGCTGTTCACGGTTTCATCCAACGAGGAGCTTGAACGTCAATAGTGACGTCACTGGTGACGTTTAAGCTTCTGATTGGATGCAATTGTCAACAGCAGATACCTGCCAGGGGCAGAGTTGGGAAAATCGCAGTATAGCATTACGTTATGCGCTGGTTACGGACGGTTACACCACTCGAATGTTTTGACTTCAAAGAAACATGGCGGCCTCTAGTTCGGTGAGGCTCCACCAAGCTAAAACTATAGGGACAGCCACTCCATGTAGTATAATCTAGGTCGTTGGGGGTGCCTGATGGGGGGTGTTGTGTAGAATTGATGTTCTGAATTGTGTTGTTTGTATCAGTTCTTTATTCTATATTTTTGTCTTCGTTTATCTATATTTAAATTATATTAGTGGTTATAATAATATTCACAATGTCTTCAGTATGTTAGGAATATACCTGTAGAAATAGGAGTCATTAAGCCACAAATATTATATTTCAAGTTTGTCGCCTTATTTGTGATCTGTGTCTTTGCTTCTTATTGCCACAACATTCACTTTCAGGTGTTATGCTGACTACAATAACATTTCAACAGCTTCAATTCTCGTGGCAATATCCGATGCAGGAAGCAACGTATAACGCAAAATTCGTTATGGTTTCATATTGTGATATAGTTTCTGAACAATTAGTTTTTGGTCGTGAAACACAGTAATAAAATTTATAATAGGCATGGCCCGCTCCCACTCGGCCTTAACCAATGCGAAACGGAGTATTACTCGCGCAACTTTTCTTGAACGATGGATTGATGAAATGCGGGTAGAGTAGGGGTATTAGTTATGAAATCGGCCACTAGATTTTATGATGCAATGCCTGGAGAATCAATCACGCCTTCGTAACGTTTTCAGTGAGTTGCGTTCTAACTTCATCAGTAGTTCGAGGTATCTCCTGTGATAGATCCGTACCTGCTTCGGACAGTTCTTTATTTTTTTGGAGGAAATCACGGACAGGATTTCACATCTTCAACGGAAAATAGTTTCTATTTCGCGCCAGTGAAGATGTGCTTGGAATGTTGTCATCATTGCACGCTGCGAGCGTTTGTCTTCAACTCTTTGTGTCAGAGGGGGAAGCAAGGTCATCGTTCAAGAAAAGTTGCGCGAGTAATACTAGAATATTCTGTTTCTCCAGAGGACGCTGCTTTGACTGCAAAATAATGGTTTTAATTTGCTGCAAAGATTACTTTGCAAGCAAAATAATGGCTTTAATTTGCTGCGAAGATTTATTTAGTCAAAAAACATTAAAATTAGTATGTGACGTATGGAGGAGATCTGCTGTTTTCGTTAGTTTCAGAATCCCTTCCCAGCATTTTAGCTATAAATAGTTCAAAAATGAGTAAAAACAACCACAAAAATTTAAAAATCGCGAGATTTAAAAACTCGCCCTTACCTCCACTCCTACCACTACCAGCAAAAGGAGAGTTCAACGAACCGTGGTCATAGTGAAGCTACAAGATGGAGGCGCTTCAGCCACTCTGTGTAGTATATTCTATCTCGTTGGCCTGCCCTGACCAAATAGTACAGAGAATATACTCTTATACTATTTGCCCTGATAGAATAGGACAACAATCAACTGTGCGAATTCTGCGAATTAGGGGCGTTCGGATTCATAGTTTCAAAAGTTGGTTGTTCTGACCGGAAGTAGGCTCAGACGACACACAGAAAATTAAGTTCCTGCTGAATCGAATAGTAGTGTAGTCACATGTCTCGTTTTCATGGAAATGGCACACCACCGGTGGCAGATGTTTGTTTATTTGGTTCAGATCCGTTGAATATCGGCATTCATTTTCCCCGAGAAGCCAAAACATCAAAATCGTCGCCATGTGTCTAGTCACGAACTGTTGCTGCTGCATCAGTTTACGCATAGGTTGCAAGATCATCGCAATTTTGTTTTTGGCGCACACCATTTTCGAAGTGGTGGATTACTCGATCGGAGCGGCCAACGCGGATGACAACTACGTCACGTATGACGCGCCGAACGGCACCGTGGTCACGGAGAAGCTGTCCTCGAAAGCGACGAACGTTGGCGTGAACGTGGCGTTGGCCGTCTTGTCCGTGATAAAGGTTGCCACGGTGTGCTTCCTCCTGTGCGGCGCCTGTAGAGAGAGCGCGTTCCTTATCAGACTGTTTCTGCTGACGTTCCCCATCTTGGGGTGCATCATACTCCTGTTTACCTTGGTGTTGGCAATCCTGAATTTCGCCGGCTACCACATTGTGGTCGGCGGGCGGTCGGTGGTGGCCGTGACTCACGGCAGTGTGGTTATGGGTGTGATCGTGTTTATAACGATGTGGATGTTTCTTATCCTCGCGATTTATTTTTTTATCGTGGTGTTCAGTTACTACTTTTTTCTTACGAATCCCGAACTGGGCGAGCACGTGGGAGTTGTAAAACCTCGTCCATCTGGGAAAACGTAATGGGAGAAAATGCGTCTAAATGGGTATTTTTTTTTCTTCTGTGAAAAGTAATGAGATGCTTTTTACTTGTGAATAGTAAACCTTAATATGATCGGTGAATATTCTCCTTTACTGTACGCTTCCATGCACTGTATCTTTTTTAAAACACTTTATCTTGGTAATAAAAAAATATTTAAAACGCATCTTTCGCCCTATTCACGAATTGATTGTTTTTTACTACTCCAAACTGTTGTGAGAGAATTCTGCTCCACCACTCAGGTGGGATTAGATTTCGGTCTTTAAATACGAGACCCCTCGCCAGTGTTCTGCAACCAGGCGGGCTGCGGCAGAATTCGTAGAAAGCTTTTAACAAGAAGGATTATGCCGATGTGGCCGAGATCGCTAAGGCATAGTGCCGTAGCAACTCTGACCGAAGGATCGCGGTCCGATCCCGCCTCGGCATGGTGTTGTGTTTCTCCTTTCACCCCCTTCAATCATTATCGTGTCAACCACAGTACCAACCGTTACCAAGCAATAGTGGTCGCTAATGACTTAGTATTATGCGAACCTAAATAATAAAAGAACGACTTATGATCTACTAAAAAAAAGTCCTTTCGATAATTAAAAAAAATACAATCAATTCAATGATCATTTACATTTATCTTATATTACTTATATATTATGTATGATCTTATTATGATTATTAGTAATTATTTATATATTATTAGTATTAGTTTATTTTATTATTAATAGTATTATCATTTTCAGAGCAAGATAATGTAGCCTGTTCGTAACGATTGAGGTGAAAATTGATTGCACTCCGTGCGCACATTCCTGACGTCAGAAACATAAAACTATTTTTAATGTAAGAAAATCGTCAATATCAAAGCTCTCTGAAAGCATTTTACTATTACCTTGTACTATAATGTGCCATATTACTAATTCACTATATGCTGTAATGTATTAATAGACTTTGAATTAGAGTACGTTGAAGCTTTCAAATCAAAAGAAGTAATCAAAATGGGTAGTTTTGCACCAAAACTGATAGATCTTTTAAAGCGGATAATTTTTGTCCCCATTAAAATATTTTTACCAATATTAAACAAAAATTAAGACTATTCGAAGCTTTAAACTAATGTAATTTTTTCTATTAATTATAATTTCTAATTCTGTATTTAGTTAAATTTATCTAAAAAAATCATAATTTGTATGAGTCATCCTTAACTTTTAGTTTCAATCAAACTGAATGAGATGCGTAATCTCTCCACGATCCTTTGGACAATCGTATTAATCACTTATTTTATTATTCTAGTACAAAGTATCTGGTCATTGAGTTATACCTTGTTATGATGAACGCGCCCCATGGAAAAAGATGCAGTTTATAAACGGCTCATAATATGGACACGACGACAACACTGCACGAAGTATGAAACTTCTAAATAAAAATGCAATTACACTTGGTTAACATTTGAATTGCTCTTCGGATAATATAAAGATGGATAATATTCTGAACCATGGAGCTATAAATATATGCATAGCTCAATCTATATTCCTCCATGGCTCCAAGGTCGTTTCGATCTACATAGACTGTCTTGGCTCCATGTTTTTAACTACTGAGAAAACTCAAGAAGGCGAGCAAAAACACTAACAACCAAGGAATAACAACGAGGGAACCACGGATTAAAAGGTAGTTGTCTGCACTGCCGCCACACGGGCAGTGCTCCCTGACAAATGAAAATCTAGACCTTTTTTGAGAGATTGGCATTGCTTCATAAATCAGTCATGCCTTCGTAACGTTCTCAATTATTTGCGTACTTGCGTACTTTCTCGTGAGTTGAAGTTATCTCCTGTGATAGATCTTTATCGGCATCTGTCATTTCTTTACATATTGTGGTGAAAAATAACAGAAGTTCTTGTCTTCAAAAGAAACTTGTTTTTATTTCGCGCCAGTGAAGATGTGTTTGAAATGTTATCATCAGTGCTCGCTGCGAGCTTTTGCCTTCAACTGTTTATTATGCCAGAGCAAGGTCATGTTTCAAGAAATGTTGCTCGAGCGAGTCTACATGTTCAGTTTGGGGTGAATTTTATTTTTGAAATTTGTCACCCTTGACAACTGATGAAACGTTTTCTGGTTATTTGCAGATGATAAACACAATTAGACACAATACAGTTGCAGTGACATTCATTTTGTTTCTCTGGTAATTAGTGCACGATTTGTTTTGGAGTGCTTTGTACAATTTGTTAAATCAAAATGCTAAGTAATTATGTAAATCCGGTGTATAATTGTTAATTGGTGAAATAACATTTTCGTCACAGAATCACAATGTCATGCCTGTTGTGAAGACTTCCTATCACCATTATTTTGGTGTGAAGGTAGAGTACCATGACACGTTATGGGCTCAACATTAATGTTTCAACTCCTGTTCAGTTATACATCGAGAATGGCATTCTACAGAACATTGTACGGTTTTTGTTGCGCCTATGGTATGGTGGGAGCCTTAAAATCATACAGATCACTCTTATTTCGGCTTGACTCCACCTATAAAGTCAGAATTGTCAATGAAGAACAGTAGACCCGTTCAACAGCCAACTAACAAAATGTTTTCCTGGCCATACCCATTTTTGTCAACGCAAACGTAGTGATATTTGACTTATAAAATGAAGTAAACATCCACTTTGTGGTTGGCCATTTTAATTTTTTTTTTTATTTTCCCATGCTATTTGCCCCGGGCATGTACAAATACGTCATTAGCGTATATTCTTTGCCTTAATTCCCTGCAATACCTATGAAATTTGAAAATCTATGAAATCTGTGGTGTGTGTGAACTTCTCGCTCCTTCCGCATGGCTGAGAATTATATCTTAGTATCTTGCGCTCAACCACCAACAGAGCAAAGTTCCAACTAATAACCTTGAAATGTAATTACGTTTAAATAAGAGTATAAGGCTCTAAAATGCGTGGTTTGCGAATTATGTAGATGTACGATTGTGTGTTGCTGGTTGCATTTGCAAGCTATATTTTTTTTAATATTCAATTTAATGTATTTTTAACACGGACAAATTTCCGCTTTTTGCACTCTTCCGTATAAACATTAACTATGCCAAATCTCACACTCGTCCCGGCACGAAATATACTAAAAATGGATCCAAAGTTATTAACATACAGATTTTTTGCCGCGAATTGACCGCATAGAACCACGCGGACATACATTGGCGGTCAATACAATTCATCATGCCACGATAAGGATATCAACGAAGTTGTTTTGTAAATAACATTTATTAATAAATAAATTAACTTATCGTGTGTTTTGTACTTTATATAGAATCATATAGAAATTCAAGTGGCATCCAAATTATTTGTCAAATAACAAAAACTTAACAAACGGTATCTCTTTAAGTTGCTTATAGGGAATTATATCTTTCCAATGCTCTGTTGAAATAGGTCATGGGAATGAGCGTTCACGAGTGGAAGAGCCACCGGTTGCACGATCTCCTGAACGTACCGCGGGGTTGTCAGGAAGAACACTAACACGGTGAAAGGGTCACTGCAGGATATCATGCTCCACAACATCACGCCGGGCTGGCGGGACGTGCGACGGGATACCCCACACCGCTCGTCGTGGCGGTCCCCACTGCGCAGACACGAACCGGGTGGTCGTCGCCATCGAGTCAGAAGAGGGAGTCGTCGCAGAATATGCAGACTCTCTGTTACTCGAGCAACTTTTCTTGAAAGATGACGCTTGCTCTGGCACAATAAACGGTTGAAGGCGAAAGCTCGCAGCGAGCGCTGATGACATTCCAAACACATCTTCACTAGCGCGAAATAGAAACTATTTTGTTTTGAAGACGAGGACTTCTGACAGTTATTTTTACCACAAAACGTAAAGATTCTGCCAGTCTGCATGGCGCCAGCTCCGTCGTTCCCGGCACCAGGCGAACTTGTAGCGACGTTCCTGGGGTGTGAGTGGCAGCAATCGTTACGGTCGGCTAATGCGTTGTGAAACCGCCTGCCAAAGGTACTGACGCAGGATGTGACGGTGCAGGCTGCACTGCACGCTTAATAGCGCCTATCGTAGCCGTTGGATCTGTTCGCGAGTGGTGGACAATCCGTCCGTCTGTCGTGGCGCGTGCGCACGTCGTGTGCGCACGTCGTGTGCGCACGTCGTGTGCGCACGTCGTGTGCGCACGTCGTGTGCCTTCCTCAATCCATTGCCGCCAAGAGCGAGCGATGGCGGTGTCCGTACGGCAAGTGTGGCGCGCTGTACGGCGACAGGAGCAACCAACCTCCCGCAGACCCACGATGTGACGCCTTTCGAACGCGTCTGACTAGACAAGCAATGCCAGCGTGTAGGTCGCCGTCGAATCTCTTAGGGTGTGGGGGAGGAACATTACCACCTCGCGAAGTGAAACACGCACTGCACTTACGGGACTGTGACGGATGGCGAACGCGTCTGACTGGACCTGCGATTCGCCGCAGTCCAGCGTGTAGGTCGCCACCGAATCTCTTAGGAGGGTGTGGGGAGGAGCAGTACCATCTCCCGAAATGAAACACGCACTGCACGTACGGGACTGAGGCTGGCGAACGCGTCGCCTAGGCACAGTGTGCGAGCAGCTGACGCTACCCGATGTCGCGTTGCGCGGCGCGAACGTTTGAGGCCCTCGTGTGTCTGTCGGTGGGCGCGACCTAATGCCCCTACCCTCGACCCCCCAGTGCGCGGGCGATCGTGAAAACGATAGAATTGTCTTAGTGCATGGTGTGCAAAATACCCAAAGAGTTTGCAACGGATTGGGAGGGTCCTTCGGGGTACCACTGTTTTTTTATGAGGATAAGTGTACATTATAAACAATACTCCGTATTATCGTAGACATTTTGGTATAGAC